GGTGTTACAGGGAAAATCTGGAAGTCCTGCCATTTTTAGAGAACAGCGGATTGCTTATCTGTGAACAGAACTGGGGCGACAGCAAAGTAGAGGTCTGGAAAGTAAGTTTTGGATCTTTTAAAGGGTTTTGTGTGTAATAAGAGTTTGTACCTTGAGCTGTCCAATATATTGTCATACTTGTATCATAAAACTCTGGTTGGCTTTTATGGCCTTATATTTTTATTTTAATTGGCTAGATAACTTTCCCCAAAAGCTCAGGAAAAATATCCTCTATGTGGCTTCTAGAGGATATTTATCTTAGTCACCTGATTTTCAAAAATGGTTGTAGACTCTGCCAGTTACATCTATACTCAGAAGATGATTTGTCATAATTTAGCATGTCCAGATTCGTAGGCCTCAGGTGGCATATTCGGTCCTTACTGGTTACTGTTTCCCCTGTAAGCTGCGGGTGTAAGGGCCTCTCCTGGCATAACTTCTCCACCAGCAGCAGATGTGTACAGTCACATATGTGAAACGTTTTGCAAAATGATTCCTATACTGATCATTGTGTAGCATAAGGAGACATATTTGGTGGCTTATTGAGAATTAATTTGAAGATAGAAAAGGGATAAGACCTTTGTCTCCCTTCAAATGTAGACATTTTGATACATTCCTTTTGGTATTTTTAACTAAAAATAGTGGTACAGTAAGTCCTCACTTAATGCCATAGGTTCTGTGACTTTAAGCAAAATGAGGTTTGATGAAACCAGTTTTTACCATGGGTTAAGTCCCTAGGGCATCTCATCAGCATTACAGAGAAACAACATTGAGTGAGGTGCTGTTACTTGAGGACCTGCTGTGCTTTTAACTAGTCACAGCTCTTCTCATGGCACACCTCCAGGAGACAGGCCCGCTGGTGTGGGCTGCACTCGAGGTGCTTAGTCTTTTGTCATTTGCTAAGTAAAAGGCTTCATCAACAAATGTACGTGTGTGTGCTTCATACCTATTATATCACTTACATGATGCTATGTAAGGTTTGTAAGGTATCTAAAATCGCTTTAGAAATACCTGACACAAATATTTTGAAACAGATTCTTAATCTGTGTAAAAAATAACCCAAGGAAGTACATATTTTTAAAAATTTTTTCCAAAATTTTAAGAAGTTACTCTTCAATGTTTCTTAGAAGTGTTTTACTGAAATGCTTTAGTGATCCATTTTTTATTAGTTACCTGTTTTGGTAGCATGTCACAGGAAATTTTATCTTAATTGTAGATATCTTAAAAGGTTAATGGAAAGATTTGCCATAATGCTTTATATGTTGTCATTGGTAGAAGCCTATCATTTCTGTTTAAAATGGAGTGAGCGCTAACGAATAACTTTAGACACTGTTGTTAACCTCTTCTTTAGAAAACAACTTGCCCCTTGGCATAGATGTAATTGGTGAGCCATAGAGAAGGTCTGTACTTCCACTGTAGGGTTAATGGGTGTCTGTCTTTCTTTTCCTTCTTTTGGTCTTTAAAGTTGGGGTTAGCTCAGGCTGTTTGAAATGATTTTCTTTGAATGTGTTGTGACATTGTTTTAATTGAATGAAGCTGCAGAACTAGCGTGATAAATCAACACAGAATGAATTGTAATGCAAGGCAAACGATATTAACTTGGAAATTGGCTGCAGTAGACAAAGCAGCTGCTATGATTAACTTTCTCATTCTCTGCTTACAGCATTCTAGAAGGGTGACCTTGGCAGCGCTGTTGTGTGGGAACCCCAGTGGTGTGCTCTTGAACACGCCTCAGCTGTGCTGTTGGTTGGTTCTTGGGTAATAGAGATTCGTTCGTTTTTAAGGTTACGAAAATTTCGTGTTACAAATTTAATATGTTGGTTTTGACTGCTTTTAAAACATTTCTTATTGATAAATAATAACTGCAGGGATTATTTTGCTGTTGTGAAGTCTTTTTCTTTGTAATTCTAATGCCATGGTTCCAGCAGAAGAGGCTGAACCTATGAAGAGAACAGGATGTGCCGGGGGTCTTCTAGTGTGTGGGGACTCTAGTGTAGGCCCCCCAGTTTGGTAATGGACACAAGTCAAAAACAATTAGGCATTTGAAGCACTGAAGGACCTGCATTCATAATGCATTTTCCTAGACATTCTTTGCGTATTTGAGATATATGATGTATGCCCAGTGTAGTAGCTGCTTTGGGAAAGGACCTGTAGAGAGCACAACTATTTCTGAGGCGTAGCTGGCAAGGCTAGTTAAGAACAGTCAAGGTGGCAAATAGAGTAACAGCAATTCCTCCTCTTTCTTTTTTAAATCTCTAGTGTTTATTTCACTCTCTACCATGTAGCAGACCTTGAATAAGTGTTTTATTGAGTTGAGTTTGAAAGTGGAAGGTGTTTTCTGTTCAAATGAAAAGTGCGCGGAGACTCCTGTCTGCCTGGGTGGTTCTCGGGGAGGGGCGATGAGTCCTGTAGGATCTGTGACTGAGAGGGGAGCTGGTAAGTTGCAGGGAAGTAGGGAGAGCTTGCTGTAAGTGGCCAGAGGCCAGGCCTGTGGTAGACTTTCTGCGACGGTTCTTCTCTTCCTCTGGCCTTTATTCTCATATGGATTTACTTTATATTGTAAGTTATGTCAATTCTAGATCTGTTTAGATTAAAAGGCAACCTCTTAAAAAATGCCATGGGCTTCCCTGTTTAGGGCTAATAGGGTAATTCAGACTGTCTGAGCAATTCTAGTAAAATAAGACAAAACAGGAAAAAAAACCCACTTGACTGCACCAGAGACGCAGCAGCACTGTGAAGAACTGCTAGTTCAGGGTCCTGGGGACAGATAGGCAGAGTGTACTCCTGGCTCTGGGGGCTCCCTTTCCTCTGGGGGTGCTTGCTGAATCTGGAGAGGATAGCTGGGGGGCTGAACCTGGGGGACAGGGTTTGAGTGTGCGACCTGCCTTTGTGGCCCCTCATCCCCAGCCTTAGCTTTGGGTGGGGATGCTGGCGAGTGTTTCCCAGGCCCTCACAGACACTGCCTTGTCAGCATCAGATTTTCTCAGTCTCAGTGAATGAAATCATTTTCAGGTGATCTTGGGTTGCTAGTAGCAGTAAGTGCCTGGCAAAGGATAATATATATCCTCTCTGGATATTATTTTAGGTCTTCTATTATTTCTGTAAACTGTTTAGTATATACAGTGTCTGGCTCTCATTAAAAAAACAGAAGGTAAAATGACATTAACGAAAATGTGAAGAAACAACAAAACACTAGAAACAAGTCCACAGGGACTTTTTGATACTAGAAGTAGGACACCCAGGCTCTATATGAGTCATACTTACTATGTGTGAGACAGAAGACAAGTTGGAGACATCTGGCAGAGAAGTAGTAAGCAAACACTTCTTAACTGGGACAAACGGGTTTCACAGAAGATTAGAACCATTTGAAGAGAGAATTGGTGGATGGAAGATGGGTCAGAAGAAAATGCTCATGTTAGCCATTGGAGTTCTAGGAGAAGAGAGTGGGACAGAAGATGTGTTTGAGGAGAGTGTTGAGAACTTTCAAACCAAAGAAATGAAGTCACACTTATGAAACTCTGAACCATAAAACGAAAACCATACCTAGGCACATCCCAGTAGAGCTGCTTAAAACTAATGTTAAGGAGGAAATTCTAAAAATAGCAAGAGGGGGAAAACGGTTGCCTTTAAAGGAGCAGCAGCTAAAGTGGATGACAGCAGGGCTTTAGGGTGGGTGAAGTGGTCAGGTACCCTGTGCTGGGGGGCTAGGCAGGGATCGGGGTACTAGAGAGATGGTCGGGTGGATTTCAGAATCGGCATCCTGTAGAGCGAGGTCAGGTGCTTACAGGGTCGGTCTCAGCTTGGGCGGGAAGGTGGTATCAGTCCGAGGGGGAGGTCCTTCTCCCAGCTGTGCTCCTGGACTGCCGCCTTCGTTTGTGGGTCACTGGAGGTGGCAGTGCTGGCGAGCAGCTTAGCGAGGCAGAGTGGGAGCTGTTGAGGGCAGAAGGTAGAGGTAGTGCCCTCGCCCTCAGCCCTGCAGCAGTGGGCTCTCGTGCCCGACTTAGGTAATGACAGGCCAGAGTGGGTCAGGTGCAAGGAAAACGTAGGCAGCTGGGCGCAGAAGACCACCACTCTTGGACTCGTGGAAGTGAAGGTAAACACTCACTTTTGTCTCCATGCAGGTGACACGTGGATGAGAAAAATTCACGTGTTGTTCTTCAGGGTTCATCCATTCTTCACCTTGGTCTCTTCCCCTAAAAAATGGACTCAGTATATGAGCGCCAGAGGTTCCTGTTGGGGTGCTAGTTCTTTATTTATGTGGTTACTTCATCCCTGCTCGATTCGCGGGAAGAGTTAAGCCTTTTGCAAAAGTAGTTGTGTAAGTTAAAGGTAGGAATGGAAAAGGAAAAGTATATAGACGTAAACCTTCACAGGGAGTGTGGTGAAAAGCATGTACTCTCAAGGCTTAACTGTTCAGAACAGGGTGGAATCCAGATGTGGCCAGGAGTAGAATTCTAATAGGCAACCCAAAAATACAGTCTTGGAACAGTAGCTTCAGGGGAAGTATAACTTATTAGACAAATAGCAGGAATTTTGCTCAAGGATTTAGTTTTAAGAAGCAATTTTTAACGTAATGAACAGTTCCCTGACCACCATCATTACAGAGTTTTATGGAAGACACTTGCATTCTTGTGTGGCACCCAAGATTTTGTCACCTGCTTTGGTTTAGATTACATGTTGGTGGACAGTTCAGTATAGTACCTTTTTTAGGTAGATTGTATTGCTCCTAATTTATAATTTGTACCAGTACATATGAAAATTTCGTGCTAAACAATGAGCTCTTGTACTACCCCCCCCCCGCCCCCAAAACAAAGCAAACTTGGGAAGAAATTCATAAGGACTCTTAATTTTATTTCAACTTAATATGAAAAAGTATTTCAATTGAGCAAGTAAATATATACTTTAATTTTAACAGCTATAAATTCAAGCAAGAGAATAATGTGTGGTGACTTTTTTTTTTTCAGTTTAATTTTGTTGGGCGAATCCTTGGACCTAGAGGACTTACAGCTAAACAGCTTGAAGCAGAGACGGGATGTAAAATTATGGTCCGCGGCAAAGGCTCAATGAGGGATAAAAAGAAAGTAAGTTCCTGAAAATGGAGGCGAGTCTGATGTGAATGATGCAATTAAGCTTCTGCATTTTAACAAAGTATTCAGATCTTTGTGTATAAGGTGTTATTTCATGTCTGAAACGTGAACATTTTAAAGGTCATCATGATTTTGCCCTGCTAATTACCACTTTTAGCCAACTAAAGTATCACTCAGTCCATCTTGTTAACTTCCTTTGTTTTTTACTATCGAGGAGCTTCTAGTTTGGGAATTAGACTGTAATGAAATGCATATAAAAATATGTATCTATAAGGGTAGAGATCTAAAATGTTTGAGATCTGCATGAGAACAGTCAACTGAGTAAGTTTGCATGTATGTCAGCTCATTTGGAGAGTTAGTAATAAGAAAAAGTAGGCTTATAACTAGTTTGGTTTCATCAGCATTTTGTGTCGATCATAAGTTTTCTAGACATTTTACTTTAAAGTGTATTGTTTCTGTTTTCTGTTTTTCCAGTTTAATTAATAAAGACCTTTAAATACTGCTTTTAGGTTTTATTTGCCTAGTTTCTTTTTATCAAGGGAATATTTTTGACTTTCTATTTGTGTAAAAAATGTTTGCCTTATTTAAAAAAAATAACCTAGATTTTGTTGCCAGTGATTAAACTGCTAGGAAGGGTTTTTTTAGCACATTGCCCTGAGAAGGCTCTCAGGTGATAGGCCTGTGATTGGCGTGTGTTGGCTGGAGCATGTGCATTGAATTGCTCTATGGAGCCCATGGAAGGAACACCAGACCTAAGGGCATGCATTCTCACTTCCCTCTGATACTCGCTTTTCTGAGCTCCCGCCTCATTTTGTTTAAGGTCTCCCATAAGCCGACCGAATCGCAGTCGTGAGGTAAAAAGTCCTCATTGGCACTGCTGGTCTTTTAATCTTACTGTAACTCGTTCTTGTCATCTGAGATTAATGATACTTTGAGGCAAACATGTGAGTTCCCCTTGAGTATATTTCGATGTATTTAAAACACATATTATTAGGATCTTAAATATTAAGATTTTAGATTCCGATTCATTGGGTGGCATGCAGTCTTGTATTGCCGTGCGGGTTTGGTTCCCATGTTTGCACTGTGGTTGCATTGGCATTAAGTAGTGTTAATTTCATAGCCCGGGCACAAGGAGATGCAATCTCGACAGCCGAAGGACCAATACATCTCACCCAAAGAGGAGTATATCTGTTAATTTAAAAATTTACTCTTAACCAGTCAGTTAATAAAACATGTTTTTCCTCTGCAGCTTCTGTTAATTCTGTAGTAATGGCCTCCTTCCCTCCCTGGTGCGCATGTGGATATTGCGGGTGAGACTTGTGCAGTGTAGTGAGGCGTGCTGACCTCCTTCCCAGCAGAGTAGGCTGTAGTCTGGGGAACGTTCTCTGCTCTCTCTGGCAGAGGAACAGAGTGGTTAGGGGAGGAGCTCTGCAGATGGCTTAGGCTCGAATCTTGGTCCTGTCATTTAGCAGCTTCATGACCTTGGACAGATTACTTAATCTCTTTGTGCTGTGTAAAACAGGACTGGTGATGTTGCTCATCTCTCGTGGTGGTTGTGAGGTGAGGGTTAAGTTAGTCCTAAAGCACTTGGAATGGTGTTTTGGTGTATAGTAAGTGATCAATTAATGTTAATAATTGTTCTTAAGTTTTATCTTAACACTACTCGATAGTACATTTTATGTTTAAACTCTCAGGTGTATGATGGGAATTCTAGTTTTTTAAACTCTGGAAATGACAGTACTTGCTGTTTTGCGACCTTTGACTGCCCCATGTTCTCGTGGCTTTTCTGTTCTGTTTCTGTGGTTGTTGGTGTGTCCATTTCTGTCTTGTCTACTTTGTTCTTAACCACAAGTAGAAGCAGCTCACACATTTTATTTATTTATTTATTTATTTATTTATTTATTTTTTAAAAAATACAGGCATATCTTGTTTTTTTGTGGTTTTTAAAATTTATTTTATTACTGAGTTCAGAGCGAGGAAGGGGGAGAGGGAGAGAGAAGCATCAGTGATGAGAGAGATACTAACTTGAGAAAGGGCGGAGGAACTTGGATACTGAACACTCTAAACTGTATGACGTCAGTGTGACTCTGAGCTTTTGTTTGTTCCCTCAGTGGTAATGTATTTTGAAGTCTTTCTCTGTGTCATTCTTTTGATTTTTCACACATTCTTCCTTCAGACAGGATTTAATCCCTCGTCATCTGTTGGGAGACGATACTTGAACAGAGTAGAGATGCTAAAGAAATAATTTTGGGAAAAGAAAATGGTTGATGTTCTATAGTTTTCCCGTCGAGGGCTGCAGGGGCCACATGAGGGGCTGTGGGGAACGTCTCAGGCTAGAAGGAATGGTCCACCTTCAGCAAACAGGCTGGCCGTCGGCTAGTTCCCAGTGTAGCCGATGAAAACGAGAGTCATTACAAGGGAAGACTGTTTTGTGCATAATTAGATACTTGGTAAATTACTGTGGAGTTACAGTTGTTATTAGATGGTAAATGAATTCCACCTTTGGGAATCTATATGAATGGTCTTTTGAGATTCTTCTTGTCCACATCCAGGAGCTGTTTTCTTTCTATTTGTTTTTTAATGTCTTTATTGATTTCAGAGAGAGGAAGGGAGAGAGAGAAACATCAATGATGAGAGCGTCATGGATCTGCTGCCTCCTGCACATCCCCCACTGGGGCTGGAGCCCACAACCTGGGCATGTGCCCTGACCGAGAATCGAACTGCCATCTCCTGGGTCTCAGGGGATCCCAGCTCAACCGCTGAGCCACGTCCGGCTGGGCTCCAGTAGCTCTTTTCTGAGACCTCCCAGTCAGAAACAGGTGGGGACTAAGTAGCCATGCTTGTGTTGGCCAAACGTGTTGATGGGTGAAATGTGTCCAGTTGGTTAAAGCCAGCTCAGTCAAATGCTGTGTCTTCTGGAAATTTCCAGTGAGACTCCACAATTCTGATTAGAGCTCTGTGCTTGAAATGAAGGGCTTTGCATTCAGATGGCCAGATGGCAGCCTTCCTCCTCCTCAGTGCTGATGTCGTATTCAGACCACGCCCCAGCCTCAGACGGTAGTTTCACCTTCCACCTGTGGAGGTTTAAGGAGATGAAGCAACTCACCCAGTCCCTTACCTGTCACGAGACATTCAAACTCAACTGTAAATTATTCTCATGAGAATATGGACTTTGCATTTAAAATCAGATAAAATCTGTAATAAAGTTTTAATTCAGGTTTTAACTTTACATTTGTTTCCCAAATATATTTGACCATAGGCTCTCTTTTTTTAAGAGTTGTTTCTATAAATTCTTGAGCAACTACACTGTTTTGTGGAATGTTACTAGAGAAGGCATATTTTATAATTGTAAACAGGTAGAATTTCATAACATTTTTTACATGCTACTTTTCATACACATTACACATTTTCTTAAATATCGCATAGCTTTATTTTTTATGGTTAATATATATTTTAATATGTGATATTTTTAGAAAAGTTTAAAAGTACAGATGGGTCCTAAACAAAATTAAACGTAGCTGATTCTTTCTCTAGATGCCGCTCTCATTGACAGTTTTGGTATGTGGTCCTGTAGATTGTCCTTCGGACAGTCACATGCACATTCACACATGGTACAGAACGTGAGTCATATCATACATGATGCTTTGTCATTAGTGTTTTCTCCTAGCTCTCTATTCTGTCCTGTGTCAGTTTACCAAATAATCGAGCTTTATAATGTCCAAGACTTCGTGCTGGGTCATGGGAAAGCACAAGTTTTTAGTGGACATACTGAAGTGGCTATGATCACTATGACATAACATCATGCACAAGCATGTTTCCAAACAGCGTGCCCTATTGATCTCTTTGAATACTTAGCTTTCTTTTAGCATAGGTATAGTTTATTTTTAAAAAAAACTTTCATTATGGTAAATTTTAAATAATATTTATTCATCACCCATTGTGAGCATTGCCATTCTCCTTCCATGTGTGCCCTCACTCCCCCGCTGTCCCCCAGATGATTTGGGGAGCAAATTCCAAACGTAATTTCAATTGTAAATATTTTATTAGTTTCTAAAATAGAAAAGCTCTTCGCTGTTGTGCTTGTTTTTATCACAAAATTTCCTTTATGTCACCAAATACCCAGTCAGTGTTCATAGTTTCCCTCTTGTCTCATAAATGTGCTTTTAAAAAAGTTTGTGTGAATGGCATCCAGAGGAGGACCAGGTACATAGCAGTTGATGATTAGAGCTCTTAATGTCACTGTCCTCCTCAGCCCCATTTCTCCTTGCAGCCAACTGAGCTGTTTGTCCCAAAGAATTCCTGTGAATATGGCTGATTGCCTGTTCATGGTGGTGGGGAACACTGTTCCGTGTACTTCTTATAAAGGGCAGCAAGAAAGTTTTAATCACTTTCAGGTCTCCTGCCCTCCCTTCCTCGTTTTCTTCTGTTTTAAAGAATATTTCGCAAGTAGTGTTCTTGTGGTGGCACATAAAATCTAGTTTCCTCTCTCAAATTTTAGCAGTCATTGTTGATTGTTTCTTAGGCTCTGTACTTCAGTAGGAGTTGCAGAATAGCTATATCCTGTTTTCTTCATGGGTACCAGCTAGATTTACGGGAAAGGCTGAATAAATACTCAATTCTTGATTCACTAGTTTTAAAATAGAGAGTTGGTTCCTAGGAACCCTCCAAAGGTGAAAAGAGATTGTTTATTTTGTTTTCTTATGACTATCCTTGTGAATGCACTTAAACAGTTGATGTGTTTCGGTTTTTTGCGGTTAGTGTTTTTAACTAATTGTGCTGTTTGGCCTTTGGGTATCTCTTTAAGTTCACCTCTAAGTCCTTTAGATGCAATCGCAGTAGCTGTGGTTAGTAACTCTGCTTTCTGGTGTGATAGGGTAGTCCGGGCTCACCTTTTAACTTTCCTTCTCCAGAATTAGAACCAGCCACTTCTTTCGAGGGTACGTTCTGGGCTGGAGTGATGTGTGCTGTTTGTAGGCCCTTTCAGCACAGAGCTA